CTCCTCAGTGACATGCATATGCAGGTACATGTTTCTGTCTCTTCGTTTTCTCCGTCTCTTCTTCTTCTCTTTCACTTCTTTTTCTCTTCTTTTTCTCTGTCTCTTCTCTTTCTCTTCTTTTTCTCTGTCTCTTCTTCTCTTTCTCTTCTTTTTCTCTGTCTCTTCTTTTTCTCTGTCTCTTCTTTTTCTCTTTCTCCTTTTTCTCTTTCTCTTATTTTTCTGTCTCTTCTTTTTCTCTGTCTCTTTTTCTCTGTCTCTTCTTTTTCTCTGTCTCTTCTTTTTCTGTCTCTTCTTTTTCTCTGTCTCCTCTTCTTCTCTTCCTCTTCTTTTTCTCTGTCTCTTATTTTTCTCTGTCTCTTCTTCTCTTTCTCTTCTTTTTCCTGTCTCTTCTTTTTCTCAGTCTCTTCTTTCCTGTCTCTTCTTTTTCTCGGTCTGTCTCTTCTTTTTCTCAGTCTTCTTTTTCTCTGTCTCTTCTTTTTCTCTGTCTCTTCTTTTTCTCTTTCTCTTCTTTTTCCCTGTCTCTTCTTTTCTCAGTCTCTTCTTCTTCTCTATATCTTCTTTTTCTCAGTCTCTTCTTTGTCTCTGTCTCTTCTTTTTCTGTCTCTTCTTTTTCTCTGTCTCTTCTTTTTCTCTGTCTCTTCTTTTTCTCAGTCTCTTCTTTTTCTCGTCTCTTCTTTTTCTCTGTCTCTTCTTTTTCTCTGTCTCTTCTTTTCTCTGTCTCTTCTTTTCTCTGTCTCTTCTTTTTCTGTCTCTTCTTTTTCTCTGTCTCTTCTTTTTCTCTGTCTCTTCTTTTTCTCTGTCTCTTCTTTTTCTCTGTCTCTTCTTTTTCTCTGTCTCTTCTTTTTCTCTGTCTCTTCTTCTCTTTCTCTTCTTTTTCTCTGTCTCTTCTTTTTCTCAGTCTCTTCTTTTTCCGTCTCTTCTTTTTCTCTGTCTCTTCTTTTTCTCCGTCTCTTCTTTTTCTGTCTCTTCATTTTCTCAGTCTCTTTTTTTTCTGTCTCTTCTTTTTCTCTGTCTCTTCTTTTTCTCTGTCTCTTCTTTCTTCTCAGTCTCTTCTTTTTCTCTGTCTCTTCTTTTTCTCCGTCTCTTCTTTTTCTGTCTCTTCATTTTCTCAGTCTCTTTTTTTCTCTGTCTCTTCTTTTTCTCAGTCTCTTCTTTTCTCTGTCTCTTCTTTTTCTGTCTCTTCTTTTTCTCTTCTCTTCTTTTCTCTGTCTCTTCTTCTTCTCTGTCTCTTCTTTTTCTCTGTCTCTTCTTTTTCTCTGTCTCTTCTTTCTCTCTGTCTCTTCTTTTTCTCTGTCTCTTCTTTTTCTCTGTCTCTTCTTTTTCTCTGTCTCTTCTTTTTCTCCGTCTCTTCTTTTTCTCCGTCTCTTCTTTTTCTCCGTCTCTTCTTCTTCTCTGTCTCTTCTTTTTCTCTGTCTCTTCTTTTTCTGTCTCTTCATTTTCTCAGTCTCTTTTTTTTCTCTGTCTCTTCTTTTTCTCCGTCTCTTCTTTTTCTCCGTCTCTTCTTCTTCTCCGTCTCTTCTTCTTCTCCGTCTCTTCTTCTTCTCTGTCTCGTCTTTTTCTCTCTCTTCTTTTTCTCTGTCTCTTCTTTTTCTGTCTCTTCTTTTTCTGTCTCTTATTTTTCTGTCTCTTCTTTTTCTCTTTCTCTTATTTTTCTCTGTCTCTTCTTTTTCTCTGTCTCCTCTTCTTCTCTTCCTCTTCTTTTTCTCTGTCTCTTATTTTTCTCTGTCTCTTCTTCTCTTTCTCTTCTTTTTCCCTGTCTCTTCTTTTTCTCAGTCTCTTCTTTTCCTGTCTCTTCTTTTTCTCGGTCTGTCTCTTCTTTTTCTCAGTCTTCTTTTTCTCTGTCTCTTCTTTTTCTCTTTCTCTTCTTTTTCCCTGTCTCTTCTTTTTCTCAGTCTCTTCTTCTTCTCTATATCTTCTTTTTCTCAGTCTCTTCTTTTTCTCTGTCTCTTCTTTTTCTCTGTCTCTTCTTTTTCTCTGTCTCATCTTCTTTCTCTGTCTCTTCTTTTTCTCTCTTCTTTCTCAGTCTCTCTTTTCTGTCTCTTCTTTTCTCTGTCTCTTCTTTTATCATTCTCTTCTTTTTCTCTGTCTCTTCTTTTTCTCTGTCTCTTCTTCTTCTCTGTCTCTTCTTTTCTCTTTCTCTTCTCTTCTCTTCTCTTCTTTTTCTCTGTCTCTTTTTTTCTCATCTCTTCTTTTCTCTGTCTCTTCTTTTTCTCTGTCTCTTCTTTTCTTCCTGTCTCTTCTTTTTCTGTCTCTTCATTTTCTCAGTCTATTTTTCTCTCTCTCTTCTTTTTCTCTGTCTCTTCTTTTTCTCTTCTCTTCTTTTTCTCAGTCTCTTGTCTCTGCTCTTCTTTTTCTCAGTTCTCTTCTTTTTCTCTGTCTCTTCTTTTTCTCCGTCTCTTCTTTTTCTCTGTCTCTTCTTTTTCTCTGTCTCTTCTTTTTCTCTGTCTCTTCTTTTTCTCAGTCTCTTCTTTTTCTCTGTCTCTTCTTTTTCTCCGTCTCTTCTTTTTCTGTCTCTTCATTTTCTCAGTCTCTTTTTTTTCTCTGTCTCTTCTTTTTCTCAGTCTCTTCTTTTTCTCTGTCTCTTCTTTTTCTGTCTCTTCTTTTTCTCTTTCTCTTCTTTTTCTCTGTCTCTTCTTCTCTTTCTCTTCTTTTTCTCTGTCTCTTCTTTTTCTCTGTCTCTTCTTTTTCTCTGTCTCTTCTTTTTCTCTGTCTCTTCTTTTTCTCTGTCTCTTCTTTTTCTCTGTCTCTTCTTTTTCTCTGTCTCTTCTTTTTCTCCGTCTCTTCTTTTTCTCTGTCTCTTCTTTTTCTCTGTCTCTTCTTTTTCTCTGTCTCTTCTTTTTCTCAGTCTCTTCTTTTTCTCTGTCTCTTCTTTTTCTCCGTCTCTTCTTTTTCTCCGTCTCTTCTTTTTCTCTGTCTCTTCTTCTTCTCTGTCTCTTCTTTTTCTCTGTCTCTTCTTTTTCTGTCTCTTCATTTTCTCAGTCTCTTTTTTTTCTCTGTCTCTTCTTTTTCTCCGTCTCTTCTTTTTCTCCGTCTCTTCTTCTTCTCCGTCTCTTCTTCTTCTCCGTCTCTTCTTCTTCTCTGTCTCGTCTTTTTCTCTCTCTTCTTTTTCTCTGTCTCTTCTTTTTCTGTCTCTTCTTTTTCTGTCTCTTATTTTTCTGTCTCTTCTTTTTCTCTTTCTCTTATTTTTCTCTGTCTCTTCTTTTTCTCTGTCTCTTCTTTTTCTCTGTCTCTTCTTTTTCTCTGTCTCTTCTTTTTCTCTGTCTGTCTCTTCTTTTTCTCTGTCTCTTTCTCATTATTTTCTTTATCTCTTTCTCTTCTTTTTCTCTGTCTGTCTCCTCTTTTTTCTCTCTTTTTTTTCTCTGTCTGTTTCTTCTTTTTCTCTGTCTGTCTCTTCTTTTTCTCTGTCTCTTCTTTTTCTCTGTCTCTTCTTTTTCTCTTTCTCTTCTTTTTCTCTGTCTCTTTTTCTCTGTCTCTTCTTTTTCTCTGTCTCTCTTCTTTTTCTCTTTCCTCTTCTTTTTCTGTCTTTATTTTTCTCTGTCTCTTCCTTTTTCTCTGTCTGTCTCTTATTTTTTCTTTCTCTTTTTTTTCTTTCTCTTCTTTTTCTCTTCCTCTTCTTTTTCTCTGTCTCTTCTTTTTCTCTGTCTCTTCTTCTTCTGTCTCTTCTTTTTCTCCGTCTACTTTTTCTCTGTCTCTTTTTTTCTGTCTCTTAATTTTTCTCTTTCTCTTATTTTTCTCTTTCTCTTCTTTATTCTCCTCTCTCTCTTTCTTTCCTCCTTCTTTTTTCCTGTCTCTTATTTTTCTCCGTCTCTTCTTCTCTGTCTCTTATTTTTTTCGGTCTACCTCTTTCTCTTTCTCTTCTTCTTCTCTTTCTCTTCTTTTTCTCTTTCTCTTCTTTTTCTCTGTCTCTTCTTTTTCTCTGTCTCTTCTTTTTCTCTGTCTCTTCTTTTTCTCTGTCTCTTCTTTTCTCTGTCTCTTCTTTTTCTCTGTCTCTTCTTTTCTCTGTCTCTTCTTTCTTCTCTGTCTCTTCTTTTCTCTGTCTCTTCTTTTTCTCAGTCTCTTCTTCTCTTTCTCTTCTTTTTCTCTTTCTCTTCTTTTTCTCTGTCTCTTCTTTTCTCTGTCTCTTCTTTTCTCTGTCTCTTCTTTTTCTCTGTCTCTTCTTTTTCTCTGTCTCTTCTTTTTCTCTGTCTCTTCTTCTCTTTCTCTTCTTTTTCTCTGTCTCTTCTTTTTCTCTGTCTCTTCTTCTTCTCTTCTCTGTCTTTCTCTTCTTCTTTCTCTGTCTCTTCTTTCTCTGTCTCTTCTTTTCTCTGTCTCTTCTTTTTCTCTGTCTCTTCTTTTCTCTGTCTCTTCTTTTCTCTGTCTCTTCTTTTTCTCTGTCTCTTCTTCTTCTCTTCTCTTCTTTTTCTCTGTCTCTTTCTCTTCTTTTCTCTGTCTCTTCTTTTTCTCTGTCTCTTCTTTTTCTCTGTCTCTTCTTTTTCTCTGTCTCTTCTTTTTCTCTGTCTCTTCTTTTTCTCTGTCTCTTCTTTTTCTCTGTCTCTTCTTTTCTCTGTCTCTTCTTTTTCTCTGTCTCTTTTTCTCTGTCTCTTCTTTTTCTCTGTCTCTTCTTTTTCTCTGTCTCTTCTTTTTCTCTGTCTCTTCTTTTTCTCTGTCTCTTCTTTTTCTCTGTCTCTTCTTTTTCTCTGTCTCTTCTTCTTCTTCTCTTTCTCTTCTTTTTCTCTGTCTCTTCTTTTTCTCTGTCTCTTCTTTTTCTCTGTCTCTTCTTTTTCTCTGTCTCTTCTTCTTTCTCTGTCTCTTCTTTTTCTGTCTCTTCTTTTTCTCTGTCTCTTCTTTTTCTCTGTCTCTTCTTCTTCTCTTTCTCTTCTTTTTCTCTTTCTCTTCTTTTTCTCTGTCTCTTCTTTTTCTCTGTCTCTTCTTTTCTCTGTCTCTTCTTTTTCTCTGTCTCTTCTTCTCTGTCTCTTCTTTTCTCTGTCTCTTCTTTTTCTCTGTCTCTTCTTCTTCTCTGT